ACATTTACTAAAATTAGTTTTTCATCTTCAAATTCAATTTCTACCGCAATACATTTCCCTTTTTTATCATCATACATTTTTGTCGTCATATCCTTCCCTTTTCTTATTAAAATAGCCACTCCTCCTCCCATTCCTTTCTCCTTGTTATTAAAAAATATTTCCCCTTCCCACCTTGTTTTAAAATCTTCCATTACATTCCCTTTCCAGTTTGTTTCTTGCAGTAAAATCACGTCGTCATTTTTACACAACTCTTTCACCTTTTCAAATTTAAAATCATTCAATAACCCTCTTGCATTAAAAGTCACAATTCTCAAAACCATTAAATAAAATAAGACAAGTAAAATCCTCATCTTATCAGTCTGTATCCTCCCCTTCTAAAATTTCCCCACTGTCCTGTTTTTGTGCTATTTCTTTTTTCACCACTTTCTTCCTTGCTTTTTCAATATTTGGCGTTACCTTTCTCGCTCTTCTTCTTTTGTTCACTGCCGCCATGTTGCTGCCATCCTCGATGTTTTCATTCTCTTTGTCTGCCCTCCCTCCTACGTTGACCCATTCCTGCTCCTCCGCTTTGTCCAGTACATTTTGTAAACTCGCAGTTGTCTGCATTGGTGTCCATGTCTCTTCCAGTTCCTCTGTTAATGTAGTCTGTTCATGTCCGCCATCAATGTCTCTGTTTTCAACGTCATTTCTCTCCAATCTTTCTGCGTCCTCCTGTTGCTCCTCTTCATAATCACTCTCAAACATCCGCCCGCTCACCTGTTCCTCCTCCTGTTGCTCATTGTCCATCCAACATTCACATTTGTCCAACACCATCCTACAATCTGGGCACCTCACCGCAGTACAGTCTCTCGCAAAATGGCCTCTTTCCTCGCATTTGTAGCACTTAAAGTCCGGACGGTCCTTCATAATGTGGTCAGGGCTCATACACCGTCTACAGGTTCTCACCTGCTGGCTGTGTATCACCCTAAAGTGTTGAGGACCTTCCTCTGTCTCCATCCTCGTGCTGTAGGGTAGGGAAGCCACTTCCTTCGGAAACCGCACTCTAAGGAACCTTGTTCCATCTTCTATGCGGGTGCCCAGATAGAATCTGCGTCTTATTTGAGAAATGGGGGTTACCCCCCATCCCTCTAGCTTATTTAAAGCTTGTCGTCATCCAAGTATGCGGGCAAATGCATGAAAGAAACAACAATCTCTATTGTGCAACTTTTTAATTTCACAGTTTTTCCCTTTTATGATTAATCCATCAGTCAATTTCTCAGTGTCCTCCTCATGCTCCAATGTTATCTCATATTCCTTCATCAGTCTTGGCCTCACCGCTAAAATGCTCGTCACTTCAATCTTTTCTGTTAATGCTTTAATAATGTCCTCCGCTCTCCCGTCTTGTAACTCCGACAAATCCACCACCACCGTTTCTTCTTTTGTGTAAATCCTCTTCTCAAGTCTTTCAGTATAATCCTTTTCTCTTTGTCGTTTACGCAGTCCATTTTCTATTTGCCTCTGTGTTCCTCGTGTCAAATCCATGCCAGTTGCCAATAATCCATCCATTTTACAAAAAACAAAAAAATCGACAGATCCCTCCCAAACAGCAAAGCTGTTGGGAGGACACAAATAAAACAAAAATAACAAAAAACTAGAAACAAAAATACTTATTTTAACAAGTAACAAACACAAAATGTTTGGGTGAGCCTCCCTCACCCCACTGTGGCCCAATCACTTCCTGTTTGCTCACTAGTGCCTCTACCGCCCTCAGGGTGGTATGGCCGTAAGCGGGGACTGCCACAAAGAGTGAGCTATTTAAAGATCAGCCACTCTATAGGCCAGTGTATTTAGATAAGTAGTGAAGCAAACGCTAAAGCTTACAGCACCTGGTATTCCCAGGCGGTCTCCCATCCAAGTACTAACCAGGCCCGACCCTGCTTAGCTCATCCTTCCCCATTAAAACACCTAAAATCTTTATTTCATTCATTTCCTTAAAATTAAAGTGCCCAGTTAAAACTTCAGTTCCCCCAAATCTCATGTATACCGTTTTATCCTCATTCACTTTAGCTCCTGCAAATTTTTTTTACTATTTTCATTGCTTCCTCTACACTCGCCAGATCTTGTAGCATTAGTGTAGTATCATCAGCGTATTGAAATATTTTATTCTCCCCTCCTGTTTTACCGTTAATCCCAGTGGTTCTGCAACTAAAGCATATAAAAGTGCCGACAACGGGCAACCCTGTCTTACTGATCTCGTTAATTTAAAACACTGTTAAAAACCCATTAAATTTTACTCTCGGTAAAGCACCTTTATATAAAATCTTAACCCATTTAATAAAATTCCCTCCAAAACCAAAACTCTTTAGAACCCCAAATAAAAAATCATGCTCTACCCTGTCAAAAGCCTTCTCAAACTCTTTAGAAACCCAAATAAAAAATCATGCTCTACCCTGTCAAACGCCTTCTCAAAGTCCAAACTGATTATAAAACCATCTATCTTTCTTTTCAGTAATATCTTATCGTATCTTTTATGCTCATTGTTGTATCCGCAATGTCTCTTCCTTTAATACTGTATGCTTGGTTTGTTTCGATTATACTGGGCATGACTTCTTTTAATCTGTTAGCGAAAACTTTTGATAAAATCTTCAGATCGGTGTTAAGCATTGTTATAGGCCTATAATTCTTTAACTCCACTTTGTCTCCTTTCCTTTTATATATCAGCTTCATTAATCCCATTCCCATCCTTTGGTTCATCTCACCTTTCCTAAAAATCTCATCAAATACTTCTTTTAAGATACTGGTTAAAAAATCTTTAAAAACAATGTAAAACTCACTCCCCAAACCATCAATCCCCGGACTTTTTCTTTTGTTTAATCCACTTATTGCTCTTTTTATTTCTTCTTCTCTTACTTCATCATCACACTCTTTTTTATCCACTTCTCCTACCCTTGCTTTTATTTGCTTCAGTAATTCCACTTTTTCTCCTTCTTTTACCCCCTCTGTACAGAATAAGTTCTCATAGTATGATTTTATTTCTTTCAAAATGTCCTCATTTTCTCCTAATATTATCCCATTTTTGCCCCTTATTTCTTTAATCATTTCTGCTTTTCCTCTGCTTTTCTCTAGATCAAAGAAAAACTTTGTACACTTCTCCCCCTCCACTGTATATTTTGCTTTGCTTCTTAATCTTGCAGCTTCATACTTCTCCTCTTCCATTTCCTTCAGTCTACCTTCTATTTCTTTTATGTTCTCTATGCTTTTTTCCGCCTTATTCAGTTCCTTATTTAAGTTTTGTCTTAGCTCTCTTTCCTTATTTTTCTTACATTTATTAATTAACTTGCAATACGTTATTGTAAACCTTTTTACCAGATATTTCACGTTCTCCCACCATATTCGCTTATCCTCATTATACATTTCATTTCCTTTTTCCTTTTCAATGATCTCCTTTATACTTAAAACATAATCTTCATTCTTCAAAACCTCTGTATTTAAAATCCAGACTCCCGGCCCTCTTTGCACTTTACTCCAGTCTACTTTAAAAAATAAAAACTTGTGATCGCTAAAACTGGTTTCTTCATACTTAATCTTTTCTATCAAATTCTCCACATTTCTCGTACATAAAATAGTCAATTCTTGTTTCGAACACAAACTGCACCACTATTTGCCTCCTTGAAAATTCTTTTTTCTGTTCATTTCTTTCTCTCCACACATCGATGATATTATTTTCTCCCATTAATGATTTTAATTATTTTCTCCCTGTGTCAGTTTTAAAAACCATTCCTTCTGCCATGTCTTGTTTACTAAAAACTGTGTTAAAATCCCCTATCATTATTATTTCCTTATACTTGTTTACGATATTTCTTAAAACATTAAAAAATTCTTTCTTTTCTTTCTCCTCTGTTGGCGCATGTACATTCACTAAAATCAGTTCGCGTCCTTCATAATTTACTTCCACCACCATACATTTCCCCATCTTATCTTTATACACTACTTTACTTGCATTAAAAACATCTTTTCTCATCTTCATTAATCCCATTCCCATCCTTTGGTTCATCTCAGCTTTCCTAAAAATCTCAAATACTTCTTTTAAGATACTGGTTAAAACATCTTTAAAAACAATGTAAAACTCACTCCCCAACCTATCTATCCCCGGAATTTTTCTTTTGTTTAATCCACTTATTGCTCTTTTTATTTCTTCTTCTCTTACTTCATCATCACACTCTTTTTTATCCACTTCTCCTACCCTTGCTTTTATTTGCTTCAGTAATTCCACTTTTTCTCCTTCTTTTACCCCCTCTGTACAGAATAAGTTCTCATAGTATGATTTTATTTCTTTCAAAATGTCCTCATTTTCTCCTAATATTATCCCATTTTTGCCCCTTATTTCTTTAATCATTTCTGCTTTTCCTCTGCTTTTCTCTAGATCAAAGAAAAACTTTGTACACTTCTCCCCCTCCACTGTATATTTTGCTTTGCTTCTTAATCTTGCAGCTTCATACTTCTCCTCTTCCATTTCCTTCAGCCTACCTTCTATTTCTTTTATTTTCTCTATGCTTTTTTCTGCCTTATCCAGTTCCTTATTTAAGTTTTGTCTTAGCTCTCTTTCCTTATTTTTCTTACATTTATTAATTAACTTGCAATACGTTATTGTAAACCTTTTTACCAGATATTTCACGTTCTCCCACCATATTCGCTTATCCTCTTTATACATTTCATTTCCTTTTTCCTTTTCAATGATCTCCTTTATACTTAAAACATAATCTTCATTCTTCAAAACCTCTGTATTTAAAATCCAGACTCCCGGCCCTCTTTGCACTTTACTCCAGTCTACTTTAAAAAATAAAAACTTGTGATCGCTAAAACTGGTTTCTTCATACTTAATCTTTTCTATCAAATTCTCCACATTTCTCGTACATAAAATAAAGTCAATTCTTGTTTCGCACACAAACTGCCCCACTATTTGCCTCCTTGAAAATTCTTTTTTCTTTTCATTTCTTTCTCTCCACACATCGATGATATTATTTTCTCCCATTAATGCTTTTAATTCTTTTCTCCCCGTGTCAGTTTTAAAAACCATGCCTTCTGCCATGTCTTGTTTACTAAAAACTGTGTTAAAATCCCCTATCATTATTATTTCCTTATACTTGTTTACGATATTTCTTAAAACATTAAAAAATTCTTTCTTTTCTTTCTCCTCTGTTGGCGCATGTACATTCACTAAAATCAGTTCGCGTCCTTCATAATTTACTTCCACCACCATACATTTCCCCATCTTATCTTTATACACTAATTTACTTGCATTAAAAACATATTTTCTCATTAAAAACACCACTCCTCTTCCAAGCCTTCCATCCCCATTGTTATATAAAATATCCCCTTCCCATTTCTTTTTATAGTCCATCATCACACTCTCTTTCCAATTTGTTTCTTGCAAAGCAATAACATCTTCACCTTTGCATTTTTCTTTCACTCTTTCAAATTTTCCCATATCCATCAGTCCCCTTGCATTAAAAGTAACACAACTTAAAACCATTAAAAAAAAGAAAAATAAATACCTAAAAACCATTATTCTCCATCTTCTCCCTCCAGCCCTCTTAACACTTCATATCTGTTTACACTTTTCATTTTCTTTTTCCTTGAATTTTCCAGATTTGGTTTTACCTTTAATGTTCTCCTTCTTATTTGTCCTCTCACCCCTCTGTCTTTTTCCATGTTGTCCATACTTGTTTCTTCTTCACTGTCCATTTCTTTGTTCTGATCATCCATTCCTTGTCCATCACGCTCCACGTTATCCCGAAGATTTTTAAAACTGTCCGATATTTCAATTTCTGTCCATTGGGTGTCCTGTTCTGTTGTCAGTTCCTTATCCTCATTATTCACTTTTTCTCCTCCTTCCTCTCGGTTGCTTGTTCCTCCTTCTGTTTCTTTTTGTTGCAATCCTTCTTCCTCTTGTCCTTCATCAGTTTCTCTTTCCTCCTCGCTGTTTCCTTCATGCACCTGTCCGTCCAACCGATGTTCCATACCTCCTTCCTCTCCCTCCATCCAACATTCACATTTATTTAAAACTCCTTGACACCCCGGGCACCTGACAGCCTTGCAATCTCTTGCAAAGTGTCCCCTCTCCTCACACTTGTAGCACTTAAAATCTGGGCAGTCTTTTAGCAGGTGTCCCGGGCTCATGCACAGCCTACAAGTCTTCACCTGATGGCTGTGCATCACCCTAAAATACTGCGGCCCTTCCGCTGTTTCCAGCTTCGTGCTATATGGCAACGATGCCACTTCTTTGGGGAATCTCACTTTTAGGAACCTTGTTCCATCCTCAATGTCAGTGCCCGGGTAGCATCTTCTTTTAATCTTTGAAATGGGATTAACTCCCCATCCTTCCAATTTCCCTAAAATTTCATTGTCATCAAGATAGACGGGCAGGTGCATGAAGGAAACAACATAGTCTCTATTTTGCAAATTTTTAACCTCACAGTTCACTCCTTTTATTATCAGTCCATCAGTCAGTTTGTCACATGTTTCTTCCTTTTCCATTGTCAGTTCGTATTCCTTTCCTTGTCTTGGCCTTAGTGCCAAGATTTGCCCATGTCCACATTGTTTTGATACAGCCTTGATAATATCCTCCGCTCTCACCTCGATCACATTCTCTACGTTCACAATCACTGTAGCCTCCTTTAGATATTTTCTTTGAAGAAATTTCTCCCTTGTGCCTTGGTTCTTTCCATTTCCAGCTCGTAGTCGATTTCCCAGTCCAGTGTCATTTACATTTCATTTCCTTTTTCCTTTTCAATGATCTCCTTTATACTTAAAACATAATCTTCATTCTTCAAAACCGCTGTATTTAAAATCCAGACTCCCGGTCCTCTATGCACTTTACTCCAGTCTACTTTAAAAAATAAAAACTTGTGATCGCTAAAACTGGTTTCTTCATACTTAATCTTTTCTATAAAATTCTCCACATTTCTCGTACATAAAATAAAGTCAATTCTTGTTTCGCACACAAACTGCCCCACTATTTGCCTCCTTGAAAATAATTGACATCTTTTCTCATTAAAAACGCCACTCCTCTTCCAAGCCTTCCATCCCCATTGTTATATAAAATATCCCCTTCCCATTTCTTTTTATATTCCATCATCACACTCTCTTTCCAATTTGTTTCTTGCAAAGCAATAACATCTTCACCTTTGCATTTTTCTTTCACTCTTTCAAATTTTCCCATATCCATCAGTCCCCTTGCATTAAAAGTAACACAACTTAAAACCATTAAAAAAAAGAAAAATAAATACCTAAAAACCATTATTCTCCATCTTCTCCCTCCAGCCCTCTTAACACTTCATATCTGTTTACACTTTTCATTTTCTTTTTCCTTGCATTTTCCACATTTGGTTTTACCTTTAATGTTCTCCTTCTTATTTGTCCTCTCACCCCTCTGTCTTTTTCCATGTTGTCCATACTTGTTTCTTCTTCACTGTCCATTTCTTTGTTCTGATCATCCATTCCTTGTCCATCACGCTCCACGTTATCCCGAAGATTTTTAAAACTGTCCGATATTTCAATTTCTGTCCATTGGGTGTCCTGTTCTGTTGTCAGTTCCTTATCCTCATTATTCACTTTTTCTCCTCCTTCCTCTCGGTTGCTTGTTCCTCCTTCTGTTTCTTTTTGTTGCAATCCTTCTTCCTCTTGTCCTTCATCAGTTTCTCTTTCCTCCTCACTGTTTCTTTCATGCACCTGTCCATCCAACTGATGTTCCATACCTCCTTCCTCTCCCTCCATCCAGCATTCACATTTATTTAAAACTTCTTGACACCCTGGGCACCTGACAGCCTTGCAATCTCTTGCAAAGTGTCCCCTCTCCTCACACTTGTAGCACTTAAAATCTGGGCAGTCTTTTAGCAGGTGTCCCGGGCTCATGCACAGCCTACAAGTCTTCACCTGATGGCTGTGCATCACCCTAAAATACTGCGGCCCTTCCGCTGTTTCCAGCTTCGTGCTATATGGCAACGATGCCACTTCTTTGGGGAATCTCACTTTTAGGAACCTTGTTCCATCCTCAATGTCAGTGCCCGGGTAGCATCTTCTTTTAATCTTTGAAATGGGATTAACTCCCCATCCTTCCAATTTCCCTAAAATTTCATTGTCATCAAGATAGACGGGCAGGTGCATGAAGGAAACAACATAGCCTACAGGTCTTCACCTGATGGCTGTGCATCACCTTAAAATACTGCGGCCCTTCCGCTGTTTCCAGCTTTGTGCTATATGGCAACGATGCCACTTCTTTGGGGAATCTCACTTTTAGGAACCTTGTTCCATCCTCAATGTCAGTGCCCGGGTAGCATCTTCTTTTAATCTTTGAAATGGGATTAACTCCCCATCCTTCCAATTTCCCTAAAATTTCATTGTCATCAAGATAGACGGGCAGGTGCATGAAGAAAACAACAGTCTCTATTTTGCAAATTTTTAATCTCACAGTTCACTCCTTTTTATTATCAGTCCATCAGTCAGTTTGTCACATGTTTCTTCTTTTTCCATTGTCAGTTCCTATTTCTTTCCTTGTCTTGGCCTTAGTGCCAAGATTTGCCCATGTCCACATTGTTTTGATACAGCCTTGATAATATCCTCCGCTCTCACCTCGATCACATTCTCTACGTTCACAATCACTGTAGCCTCCTTTAGATATTTTCTTTGAAGAAATTTCTCCCTTGTGCCTTGGTTCTTTCCATTTCCAGCTCGTAGTCGATTTCCCAGTCCAGTGTCATTTGCCGATCGTGTCTCTCCGCCTAGTCCAGTGTCGTTTTCCATTCGTGTCTCTCCAGCCGGTCCTGTGTCGTTATCCATTAATCCATCCATTGTAAGAAAACAAAAAAACAAAAACGAAGAGAAAAAAAAAAGGTGGGTAACCACCCTCCAGCCAGCTAAATGCTGCTGTTAGGTGGTTTAAAATTGACAAACCACACAAAAAACTAACCTAAAGTCCAAAACAGCTCACAAACTAACACAAACAGAAAAACAAAATGGAGGAGAGCCTTCCTCTCCCAACTGCAGCCAACACTTCCTGTAGCTCTCTAGCGCCCTCAGGGTGGTATGGCCATAAGCAAGGACTGCCACAAAGAGTGAGCTATTTAAAGATCAGCCACTCTATAGGCCAGTGTATTAGATAAGTAGTGAAGAAAACATTAAAGCTTACAGCACCTGGTATTCCCAGGCGGTCTCCCATCCAAGTACTAACCAGGCCCGACCCTGCTTAGCTTCCGAGATCAGACAAGATCGGGCGCAGACTTTTTTTTTATTTTTTTTTTTTTAATCTTTTCATTTCACTTTCAATTCACAGATTTTCAATTACATTATTTCATCACATTTACATACACACACTTCGTTACATATGTATGATTCATTTTTCAATTGATATACTTAATTTTGAATAATCAATGAATAGAAAATAAAAATATATAAAATACACACAAATATGTTTACATTTACTCAATTTACAACCGCCAATCTCAACGAAATTATTGCTTTTTACCAATTGAAACATATTTTGTTCCCCACCTCTTGATATATGAACTTATTTGTATTCACAAAAAACTTTCGCCTCTTTATCTCCATACTTGCAAATCAACTCTACATCCCTTTGTATTATTAACTTAAATATATATTTTACTTTTATCTTCCTCCCTTCGAAATGTGAATAGTTCCTTCTTAGAACTACTGCTAGTCTGGCATGACTCAGAACAAAATTAATTAGGCAAATGTCAACTCTTTTCCTTTTCCCGGAAATTCCAAACAGAAAAAATTTCCCCCATTCCTCCTCTGACTCAACTTCCACACCCCAGTTTTCTATTAACAGACTTTTAAGAAAATCAAAAAAATCAACCAAAGCCTCACATCTCAAAAAAATAATGTAAAAAACACTCATGGCCATTATCACACACGTCACACATCACATTTACCTCATTTATTTTATTTAACACCACATTTGTGTAGATTCTATTATGTCTTATCAGAAAGTCATTGTTCTCACACTCTATACTGTTGTATTTTATATTTAAGCTCGACCATATTTTTTTCACATCCAAATCTTCAAATACTTTCTTCCACACTTTTTCTGCTGCTGGCTCTTTTATAACATCAACAATTAGTCTCCTGTATACATTCTTTACACTCATATTTTTAATTTAGTTTTTCTCGCCATTATCATCCACATACATCTCCGGCATACATTTTTCCACTTTAGTTACACACTCACTTTTAATCACATTAGACCATTGCAAGGGTATACTTGATTTAATTTTTTCATATATTTTATTCACTTTCTCTCTATTCTCCATTCCTTCCAAATCACACACAGAATCATAAATGCAGTTATTTCTGAGAAATCCTGGAATAACTTCGTACAAAATGTCCTTTACTTGTTTTATGCCCCCTTCTATAAATGTATATTCATACGTTTTATTTTTATATTACATTTTTTTTCATTCAGAAACAGTGGTAGATTTTTAATCACATGTATGTCTTCACACTCATACTCTATTTTGGGCAGGAACTGCCTCCATGCCTCCAATAATTCCCGATATATTTCTGGTATTCCTCCCGTCATTGATTGCTTAAAGCCCCATATACCAACCATTATCCCCTATTCCTCCCACGTCATTAATATATTTCCTTAAGAATTCCTTCCACCCATAATTCCATCTCCCTCCCATATATTTTATCACCGTTTTTATTCTCATTGCAGCCCTTTTTATTTCTAAGTCCATCAAGTTTAAGCCCCCTTCCCATCTCTCACCCACCAATGTTTTCTGTGCAATTTTCACCCCTTTTCCCTCCCTTATAAAATCACATACAATTTTATTCAATTCATTCATCACCCACCCTGGCATTTCCATTACACTCATTACATACACACATACTGACAACAACAGACTATTTACTACTGTTACTTTCCCATTTAATTTTAATTTCCTCCCTTTCCATGCTGCACATACTGTTCTTATTTTGTCAATCACCCCGGTCCAAGTCACATCTCTTGCCTCTTTGCTTTCCACGCCTAAATACACCCCTAATACTTTTATATATTTTTCCTCCACTCTTACCCCTACCTCAACCCTCTCTACCTCCCCTATATACATTAATTCTGATTTATCCACATTTATTTTTGCCCCGATGCCTTCCCATACCTCTTCACTATCTCTAAAACTCTTTTTACACTATTTCCTTCCCTCACTGTGATTGTAGTGTCATCCGCATATCGGTTTATAGTACACATCCCTCCATACGGAAACTCAATACCCACTACTCTTTTATCCCTCTTAATTAGAGTGGCTAGAGGCTCTACTGAAATGGCATACAATAATGCAGACAGGGGACATCCCTGTCTCACTTACCTTCCCACCTTAAACTTGTCTGTTAGCACTCCATTTATTTTTATACAACTTTTTGCCTTCTCGTATAGTCTCCTCACCCATCCTATCATTTTCACCCCAAATCCAAACTTCTCTAATAACCTAAATAAATATGTGTGTTCTACCCTATCGAATGCTTTATTCCAATCTATCCCTAATACTGTTCCTCCTTTCTTATCTCATTTCATGTACTCTATCACATCTCTAACTGTCCCTATTGTGTCCGCTATATCCCTGCCTGGTATGCTGTAACTCTGTGTTGGTTGCACTATACTTCCTATCACTCTTTTCACTCTGTTCGCTAAAACTTTAGTCAATATTTTATAATCCACATTTAATAAACTGATTGGTCTGTAGTTCTCTATATCCAACCTATTCCCCTTCTTATACACCAAAGCTATCACTTCCTCTACCATTCTATCTTGCACTGTCCCTGTTCTTTCTATATCCTTGAACACTTCGACTAAAATGGGTGCTACCCCTTCCTTATGTTTTATACCATTCAATACCGATCCCATCACTCCCTGGACTTTTTCCACTTTTCAACCCCCCATTGCCTCTTTCACTTCCTCCTCCTCTATCTCCCTATCACACCATTCCCCATCTTCCTTATTTAGAATATTCCCTACGCTTTCTAATACTTCATCTATACTTCCCTCGTCTACTCCTCCCCTCTTATATAACTCTTCATAGAATTCTTGCACTCTCTCCAAAATCTCTACGTAATCTTTTGTTGTTTTGCCCTCTTTTGTAGTCATTTTGTTTATATATGTTTTACTTTGTCTCCTTTTCTCTAGCCCTAAAAAATATCCTGTACATTTCTCACCCTCTAATGCATATTTTGCCTTACTTCTTAAAATCGCTCCTCTGCATTTCTCCCTCTCATATTTTTCTAGTGCCATCTTAACCTCCATATATTTTTCCATACTGTATCCTTCCTCATCTTCTGCCTTATCTAATTCTTCCCTCAATCTTTCTCTCAGCACCCTTTCTTCCTTCTTCTTTCCCCTTCTTTTCTTACTATATTTTATACTAATTAACTTGATTTGGTCTTTTATTTTCTCCCATCTTTCCGCCATTCTATCATCTAATCCACCATCTCTTTTATACTCATCTATCTTCTCATTTTCCCTATTTAATAGATCCTTCATCTGTATCTCATATTCTTCATCTTCAATGTACCCTGCATTCAATATCCACATCCCTCCTCCTACCTCCTCACGCCCTATCTTGATTCTGAACCTAACACTATCGTGATCACTTAAATTATTTCCTTGATGTCTTATCCCGTCTATGTATCTAATGATTTCCTCTTCAACTAACGCTAAATCTATTCTACTGTTTTAATGTACCTTCCTTTAACTGCCTCCTAGTAAATTCTCTTTTTTACGGATTTTCATACCTCCAGACATCTATCAACCCCTTTCCTGTCATTATCTCCATCAACATTCCCCTCGATTTCTCCCATCTAAATTTTACCCCCTTGCCCACATCTAATCTATTACATTTTATATTGAAATCCCCCACTATAATACATTTCCACACAACTAACCCTTTTAATTCTTCCAAAATTTCCCTCCTGTCCACTTCTATATTTGGAACATATGTATTTATTAATCTAAAATTCATACCTCCATATATAAATTCAAATACCAAGGTCCTTCCCCTCTTATCTTTATACACCTCTCTTGTACCTTCTACACTATCATTTTTAGATAATATTGCCACACCTCTTGCATTTTTTGCTCCATTATTATAGTATATGTCCCCTCTCCACTCTTCTCTCATCTCCCTTACTTCATCCTCTTCCCAATTTGTTTCCTGTATACAAATTATATCACTCCTATATGTAAATAATAACTCTTTCATCTTGCTTTTATCCCTTAACCCATTTATATTTATTGAAGTTACAGTGGCCATGAGAGTAACCAAACAAACAAAAACAAAAGCACACATATAATTAAATAAAATGTTTAAACAGACGTCACATACCCGCCCGTGGTTCCTTTATCTGTTCAGCCTGTTCTCCATCCATCTCAGACTTCCTCTTTGAACTTAGTCTTTTAATCTTAGTTTTCAGTCCTTCTTTTTTTCCTCCATCTCTCTTTTTTCCACCTCTGCTTTCCATCAGTTCCTGTGCAGTCTCTTTCTTTTCTTCTTCTTTACCCCTTTCTTTCACATCACTTTCACCTATCTCCTCTTCCTCAATCTCTTCCGACTGCTCCATCTCCTCCTCCCTATCATCCTCTTCACTGATACTTTCAGCTCTGTCTCGCCACTCCATTTTGCTTCTTCTTTCACCATCCTCAGCTCCATCTTTCCCTCCCCCGCTCACATCATCAGTTGTTTCCTCCTCTTGCTCCTCTGTCAGAACACTTTTCCTCCTTTCACCATCTTGTCCATCCACTCGCTCTCTCTCTAATCCGATCCATTCTTCGCAATCTCTTACATAATGTCCTCCTCCACCACACTTGAAACACTTTAATTCGGGGCACTCTCTAAATATGTCCCCTGGCTTGATACAAAGTCTGCAAACACGTACTTGTCTATCATGGATGGCACGAAAATATTCTGTGCCTCTCAGAGTCTCAAACTTTGTGGAGTATGTAAGTGAACATACCTGTTCTGTAAAGCGAACTTTTAAGAAACGTGTTCCATCATTTGTATCCGTTCCAGGCCATACCCGACGTTTTATTGGTGAAATTGGTCGTACTCCCCACTCTTGTAGCTTGGAGAGTATCTTCTCATCCTCTAAGTACA